TACACTCCCACCAACAGTGTAGGAGAGTTCCTTTTTCCCCACAGCCTCTCCAGCATTTGTTGTTGGTATTCTTGATCTCGGCCATTCTTTCAGGAGTGAGATGGTATCTCAGTGTGGTTTTGATTTGCATTTCTCTAATGACCAATGATGATGAACATTTTTTCATGTATTTATTTGCCATTTGTATTTCTTCATCTGAGAAGTGTGTATTCATCTCAGATGCCCATTTTTGGATTGGATCTTTGAATTTTGGGGGTCTGAGTTTTTAAAATTCTTTTATGTTTCAGAAAAGAGTCCTTCTCTGAGAGAGAGTTCACTAAGATATTTTCCCAGTTTGTGGGGTTTTTTTTTCACTATGCTGGAGATTTCTTTTGACATGCAGGAACTTTTTAATAAGAGGTGGTCCCAGTTATTGATTCTGGGAAGTATTTCCCATGTGGTTTGAGTCCTGTTCATGAATTCTCTACCTACTCCTATGTCTTTAAAGTTTCTACCCAATTTGTCTTCCAATAGATTTAGTGTTTCTGTTTTAATATTGAGATCTTTGATTCAGTTAGATTTTATTTTAGTACATGGTGATACGCATGGGTCTAGCTTTAGTTTTTGGCAAATGGAGAGCCAGTTTTTCCAGCACCATTTATTAAAGAGACTGTCGTTTTTCCAGTGAACCTGCTTGGCTCCTTTATGAAAGATAAGGTGGTTGAGTGTGTTTGTAGTCGTGGTTGTATCTTCTAATCTATTCCATTGATCTTCGGCTCTGTTTTGATTCCAGTACCATGTTGATTTTACTACTGTTGCTTTATAGTATAACTTCAAGTCAGGGATTGTGATGCCTCCTGACTTGCCTTTGCTGCTTAGAGTTGCCTTTGCTATTCTAGGTGTCTTCTGGTTCCAGATGAATTTTAGAAGTGATTTCTCTAGATCTATAAGGTATGTTGATGGTATTTGGGGGGGGGATTTCACTGAATCTGTGTAACAGTTTTGGGAGAATGGCCATTTTCACAATGTTTGTTCTTCCTATCCATGAGCAAGGCCATTCTCACTCCTGATACCATCTCACTCCTGAAAGAATGGCCATTTTCTGAGATCATCTTCAATTTCTTTTTTCAGTGTATTATAATTTTCCTTGTATAGGTCTTTCACTTCTTTCATAAGAGTAATTCCTAAATATTTCATTTTTTTACTTGCTAATGTGAAGAGTGTGGTTTCTCTTATTTCCCTCTCTGTGATTTTGTTGTTCATGTATAGGAATGCTGAGTATTGATTTTGTATCCAGCTACATTACTGAATTTATTTATTGTATCTAAGAGTCTTTTAATGAAGTTTAGGGGGTCTTCTATGTAGAGTGTCATGTCATCTGCAAACAATGATAATTTAACTTCCTCTTTTCCTATCTTTACCCCTTTTATTCCTCTCTCTTGCCTAATTGCCCTGGCTAGTACTTCCAGTACTATATTAAATAGGAGTGGTGATAAAGGACATCCTTGTCTTGTGCCCGATTTTAAAGAAAAGGCTTTCAATTTTTGGCCATTTAGTATGATGCTGGCTGTTGGTTTGTCATCAATGGCCTTTATTATATTGAGATAAAGACCATCTATTCCAGTTTTCTGTAAAGTTCTTATCATGAATGAATGTTGGACCTTATGGAAGGCTTTTTCTGCATCTATAGAAATGATTATGTGATTCTTACTTTTGGCTTTATTGATATGGTGGATTACATTTATTGATTAATGTATGTTGAACCATCCTTGCATTCCTGGGATGAATCCCACTTGGTCATGATGTGTAATCTTCTTGATGATTTGCTGCATCCTATTTGCCAATATTTTATTGAGGATTTTTGCATCTGTGTTCATTAGGGAGATCGGTCTATAGTTCTCTTTTTTAGTTGCGTCTTTCTCAGGTTTTGGTACTAGAGTAATGTTTGCTTTCAGGAATGACTTAAGAAGGATTGCTTCCCTTTCAATTTCATTGAATTGAGGAGTGTCGGCATTAGGTCTCCTTTGTATTTCTTGTAGAATTCCACAGTGAATCCATCTGGGCCTGGGCTCTTCTTTGTAGGTAAGGACTTAATTACATTTTCAATTTCATTAACAGAGATTGGGTTATTCAACAGTTTTACATCATCTTTATCTAGCTTTGGTACTTCATATGTTTCTAAGAATCTGTCAATTTCTTCTGTGTTATCAAGCCTTTGAGAGTAGAGGTTTTCAAAATAGGTGTTGATGATCTTCTGTATTTCTATTGGGTCTGTAGTGATTTCACCTTTTTCATTTCTTATTGCATGAATTTGAGCTTTTTCTTCCCTTTTTTAAATAAGGTTGGCTAGGGGCTTATCAATTTTATTTATTCTTTCAAAGAACCAACTCTTTGATTCGTTGATTCTTTGGATTGTTTTTTTAGTCTCTATTGCATTGATTTCTACTCTGATGTTTATAATTTCCTCCCTTCTTTTGGCTTTTGGCTTGACTTGCTCTTCTTTTTCTAGCTGTTTGAGGTGTAGCATCAAGTTATTTATTTTTATTCGTTCTGATTTCCTGATGTGGGAACTCAGTGCAATAAATTTTCCTCTTAGGACGGCTTTCATTGCATCCCACAAATTCCAGTAAGCTGTATCTAGCAGCACAATTTGTAATTGCCAGATCTTGGAAACAACCTAAGTGTCCATCAACAGAGGAATGGGTAAAAAAGTTGTGGTTTTTTTATACAATGGAGTACTACTCAGCTATAAAGAAGGATCCCAATGACATATTTATCAATGAATGGGCACAGCTGGAGACCATACTCATAAGTGAAATAAATAAAACTCACATGTATGAGTACTAAATAGTTTTCCTATTGTAAGAAATGATTCAAATATATAAAAGTGTGTGGTAATCATGATTCCCCATTATGTGGCTTTGATACCTTGTAAAGTTTTCACTCATTGATTGGAATGGCTTTATTCTGGGCTGTTTGATATATTGCCTCTGGTGAAATGAACAGCTGTTTTGAAGAAAACAAGACATCATAATAGCTAGTGCTAATTTAATATCATCTTGTTTTGAAGTCCCACCACACTGTTGTTCCTCTGTCTCCATTGGTTTTATCATTTTGTATCTTACTGGATTTTAGTATATGTGATAGTGTAAACAAAAATTTTTATAGGCAAAAAGATTATATAGAAACCATTATTCGTTTTCCATTAGCTGGTTCTAAATACCCTGTAATACTTTCATCCTCTTGAATGGTTTCACACTGTCTTGATACGTTTGATGCTATAGTGTATGAAGTTATATTAAAATATTTCAAGGAAAAAGATACTATGGTAACTACTATAAGCCAGGTTATCTTGTGGTGAAGCACTAGGTTGCTGAAATTGTCTTGCTTTGACCTGTGTTGTTATGTTCTTATGTCCTCTTTTATCTTAATCTCCCTTTTTCATAAAAAAATTTATTTATTTACCATTTTTTTAATTAAGGGAAAAATAAAAAAATTAGCAGGATACATTATTGTAACTTTTTTGATTTCCTATTAACTTGTTTTGAAGCCTTGTATTACTCCCACTATCTTGTTTTGACTGATTATATTCTATTCCGTTCTGTTTGATAGTATCACGTTTGAGGGTATAGACAACTACTTTGAAAGCAATAAGATTCACTATGTTGCCCATTGTGGTTTGACTATTACCTTCTTTTGAAGTCCTGTAATATTTCCATTGTTTAAGTTTTATTGGTCTTGTTCTTTACTGTTCTGTTCAAGTTTATTATATCTAATGATATAGACAATTCTTTTTACGGAAGCAAGAGGCATTTTGGTAACCATTGTTGATAACCTTGTATTCTGTTTTTATATCATGTGCTAAGTCTATCCTTTGTTTGGACTGACTGCTTTGTTTTGTCATATTTGGTTTTATTCTCTTCCAAAAAAAGTAATAAGAACTGTGGGAGTAATAAAACCCAAAATGTGTAAATTTTGTTGTAAAAAAGAGAGGAAAAAAAAGTGCTCCAAAGGATACAACTGGAAGTGTGTTTAGGTGTGTTAAGACAGATGACCATATTACTAAGTTTTTGTGGGATCACTGAACACAACTATTTGCAGTCTCACTGTTTGAATGTCCACTTTGTATGCTTTAATCCTGTAACTTGAACAACTATCTCCAAGATGACAATATGTGATCTATTAACTAGTGATTTCTTACCTTTTTTTTTTTTTGTAATTCTGTATTACTTCTACCCTTCGACCCATACACTGTTTTGTTTTTGTTTTTTCCTTTAAACAAATAAAAAAAATAGATGGAGAGTTTCTCGTTGGCAAAGAGAACTGTAGGAAATGGAAGCTAACAGTCTGAAGTCTGAGTTTCTCTGCCTTGACAAGTTGAAATGCATTTATCAATTATTATATTTCTCTTCTGGCATATATATTTATGAACTTTTATTGAAATGAGTAAATCGATATATCAATGTGAGAAAAATGTTTTCCATAAAGCAAACTCCCTTATTGCAAGTTTTTACCTCTCACAATGTCAAGCCCTCCCTTTATTCGTTGTTTTCTGGCCTTGCCTGAACTCCTGATGCTCTCTAACTCTACTTTCTCCATGGTATTTTAACTCCAGAACTGGCTTAGGTCACCTATGACCCCATTTTGCAGACAACACCCAGGAAAAGTCCCTGTAGTTTAGTGAGAAAACGGGAGGAGCCAGGGATGGTGGTGCATGCCAGTAATCCCAGACCTGAGGCAGTTGATGCATTAGGATCAGAGAAAATTGGCAACATAATGAAACAGACTAAATTACACAGACACCCTGTCACAAAAAAAAGGGAGAGACGGCTCTGCAAAAGCTGGAGAAAGCACTGCTCTAAGAAACGTTAGTGCAGATCCGCATAAGAAAGTACAGAAAATCCTGGGTTACAGTCTACCACTTATGTTCTATTTACACCGGTAGAATCCTAAAATTTTGTCAAGCCCAGATTAAAGGGAGAGTCAAATAGCAGGAGCAAATCACTGTTGAGGGGCGGGCTGCGTGGACTGTCCAATCAGGTGGGCCGAGGGAGGAGGGCTCTGTTTCCCAGGGCGGAAGTCCAGATCCCGAACCCGTTGCTAGGAGGATTTCTGTCTGATTAAACTGTCTTCTTTTGGATTTGTACTGGCTACAGTCTGTAGGAGAAGGACCGTGAAGAGACCCTCAAGCCACACAATGGTGAGGTTGTGGGATGGGTGCCCTGAGATGGATCGGGAGGGGATGGAGCTGAGGTCCGGATGGAAGCGGTGGGAACGGCAATGGCGCCTGGAACCGCTCTGCCGGCGTCACTGCGAGCTCCCCGTTCTGTAATGTTGTGTACAGTGAGTGTCCTGCCCTGGCTAAGGCAGGTACATTTTGGATAATCAGCACCTTGTTTTCCAATGACAGTGTTGCCAGGGCACAGGAAGCCACAGAGGGCAGCTGCGTCACCAATTGTACCAGGGTGGGAGTTGCGCGTCACGAGAAAGAAAAAGCTAGGGGAGCAGTGCTACTGCTTTCCCGATCTCATTCCCTGATGTTTGTATTTTACCGAATATTGAACTCAGGACTTTTACTCTGAAGTAGATTCCCCACACTTTTTAATAATTTCTTTTTAAAATTTGTGATCGCATCTCACTACGTTCCCAGGCTGCATTGAATCTTTTCGCTTGATTCTTTTTTGTTCCTGTTTTTTGATTTTTGAGACAGAGTCTAGCTGTGAAGTTCAAGCTAGCTCGAAATTACTATGCAGTCCACCCTGGCCTCAAATTTAGGTGACCTTTTGCCTGGGACTCACAAGTGCTGGGCATTACAGACATGTACCACCTCGCCAGGCTTGCAGTGAACTTTTGAACTTGACTCAGTTTCTTGGAGTGCTGAGAAGACAGACTTGTGCCGACCTGCCTGGCTAAGATGGGGGTGCTCTATCACCACTGGTTTTCATTTTCATTTGTTTGTTTTTAAACACCCAACTTGCATCTCAGCCATCTGGGACACTAAGGCACGAGGATGGCTATACCAAAGGCAGTCTGTAAAGCTGAGCAAGTCCCATTACAACATAAAGTAGAAATACTGAGACTGTGTCTCCAGTTTGTGGAAACTTGTGTAACATGCATTAGGCCCTGAATTTAATCTCCAGTGCTGAAGTATTTTTTTGAAAAAAGGATAAGCATTCAGTTGAAATGCGCCTCAATTGTTGCATGTCATGCTGTTGGCACACTAGTGGTGTTAATACAATACTTGCTCAAAATTGTGGCCAGTAGCTGTGAGTCACTGCTCGTCAGCAATAGCAAACCATATGAAAACAGCATGTGATTTCCAGTACATCATGTTCTATAAAGTCCACAAGATATTTATTTTACTATGAAACTTGGTATGTGTTGCATAGATTTTTCTCCAATATAGGTCAGTACAAGTAAGTGTTGAGCTGTTTTAAAGCACCCACAGCTTAATCATGTTTGCTAGATCAGGGGTGTTCAGAGCATTTTTGGTAGCTTTTATTTTTCAACTGACTGAGTTGATCAGGGTATTTTTCCTTGGTACCTGGAGCAGCATTCAATAAACTCTTTGTAAAGCAGCATTCTTTGAACTCTGTAAAATGTTTCACTGCAAAATATGAAACTGATGAAATAGTTTCTTGTGTTGAGGGCAGTATGAATCAGTTTCAGGAGAAACTGTTTGTATAAAAAAAAAAGCACAAATTTGAGTTTGTCTTCTCATTTTGTTTTGGTGGTTTAGTTCCCTTTTTCTTTTGTATTATAGAGAAGGGCACCACTCTGGTGCTACTGCGTGGCTTGCTTCAGCCATACAATGAGCCAGGATAGAAAATGTAAGTGAATAGACGCAGGGAGGCAGAGCAGTTTGTTATAAGACACTGAACATGCACAATGTTGATCAGAAAAGATTTCTGTCTGTAGATTGAATTGATCCTGACTCTGGGAACCATTCTCCCGGCCTAACTGCTGGTGCAAATATTTGGCTTTCTTCATGCCTTTTCCTATTTTTCTTTCCTTGCAAATGAGGAACTTATCTGTGAGGCACTGTCTCCTGGGTGAGTTGGGGCTCTGTTTTTCTTTGCAATAACTTCACTGTCTGTAAAAGAAGTGATCATGAGCCTTGATTACATGTTCTATGTATGGTTGGATGCTGCCATCCCTGCAATGCCTCCCAGCCAAGCACTCCTGAATTTCTCATACACTGGGCAATTCTTTCATGTTGGTACCCTGCAGAAGCCCATGGGAATGGCCCATGGAGAAGAAGGGCACAGCTGAGATAATGCTCAGAGCTTCAGTTCATGGCCCCACTTTGCTTAGCCTGTATACTCAACCTCCCTACACTCATATGTCTATATAATACACCAAGCAGTGAAGACTTGTAGGTTTTCACTGTAGAGGCATCAAAAAAGCAGAATAGTGGGAGCACAAGAAGGAAACAGACTAAGAGTTACTTGGTGTTACTCAGCTTGAATTTGTGGTGCAAAGATAAAGATTTCAGGCCGATATGAATTAAAAAACTGGTGGTCAACTAACACCAGCTGAATTAAATCAGTGTGGTGCTGAGTGTAGATGGTTCACTTGAGGAAAGTTACCAGCATAACTAGAGACATGGAGAAGAAGAGCGAGGTGTTGTGGATTCTCCTAAGTGTTGCTGTTTTGAGCTGTTAGTTCACTTGGAGGAGCAATATCATTCAGGAATTTATGTGTCCAATTCACCAACTAAGTTAGAAGTTTTCAGCCACTAGTGATTCCATACTTCATAAAAAATGAGGATGGATTATGATACCTAGTTTTCTTTTTACAAGTTTTACCTAGTTTTCTTTTTATCAGAAAGCAGGATTTTTCAGTTTTGTCCAAGGTATGAATATAAGGCAGGCCTTCTTTTTCTTCTGCCCTAGAAACAGATTTGAGAAAATGCCATAGATACTCAGGAATATATTTAGTGTGTGTGGGTCCATGTAAAATCTAACAGAGACTATATTTTGTCAAAGATATAAATATACAGCAGGCCTTCTCTTTCTCCATAGAAACAGATTTGAGAAAATGTCATAGATGCAGAGTGTGTGTCTATGTAAAATCACAGAATATCCTTACTAGCACCAACAGTGGGCAATAAATCCTAATTCTGATAACCTCCAACTCTAGAATTTTTCTAGCTTAGTGAATTTTATGAATTTAAATTGATATGCTTTTTGAGTTTGTTCCTCTTTTTTATATTTCTTTAATTTTTTCCTTTCCTTTGAAGTACTTTCTTGTATTATGTGTATGTGTTTCCCATGAGGGTACTTTTTTTAAAATAAAGTCTTCCCTTCAGTTGTTTGTGACATTTGACACTAAATATACTTTGCATGATTTTTAATCTGTAAGTTAATATCACGAATTTTCTTTGCTGAACAGAAGTCCTTTTACTGTTTTTGAATCTTTTTAAAGTCACCTAAACATTTATTGCTTTGTACTTTTATATCTTGATACTTTCTTCACTCCTAGATCACAAACTCATATTCGTATACTTTTTTCTGCAGTTTACAGTTTCTTATTTTATAGTTTGTTTTATATCTGAATGGAGTGCAGCTTGTTTGCAGTGCTAAAAAGTCAGATTTACTTAGGGTTTTTTTTTTTTTTTTTAGAATTTAATAATGGTTGTTATATTGCATATTGTTATCATCAAAAGAGTTGCTTAGATTACCAGATATCAATACTCAGAATTGATCTACTCATGAGTATTAACTGTTCTTTTATAAGAACTAATAGAATTAGTAGTATAATCATCTTAGCTATTTTATACATATATACAAATTGGTTATCTTTTTTCTTTTCCCTTGTTTTCTCACATTTACTTAGCTTCTAAAATGCACAATTTACTACCATAAGTGGATGATTCATCTCTACTTTCTCTTGATTTGTGTTGCCAGCCAAATCAAATCTCAGTTTAGAATGATTCAAAATTATGGCTTGATGTCTTCGATGAATTTTGTGTCTGTATATGTTGTTTCAAGTTCAGAATTAAATGTCTGTAGTTACCCTGTGTCCAAATAAAAGGAAAGGGAAGGCAAATCTCTTACTTTTTTTTTTTTTGGTACTGGGAATTGAACTCACCACCATGCACTTGCAAGGCAGGCGCTTATGCCACTGAACTAAATCCCCAGCTCTTTACTTTTTAAGCTGAGATTTGAAAAGTATAGTGTTCTTTGGTTTTTCAAAAGGAATTTTAGAAGATTTTTGTCACATATGTAATTAATTGTTTGGTGCTATAACATAGTTGTATTAAGAATAAAATATGAAATATTTAGAACACATAATATTTTTCTGCTCATTATAAAAGGTACATGTTGTACCCTCTATAGTTTTTTTTTTTTTTTTTTTTTTTTTTTTTTGGTATTTGAGACCAAGTATCGCAGTAAACACACATGATGTAAAACTGTGATCCAGACTGACAAAGTACTAGTGGTGACAGTCCTGTTTCAGACTCCCAAGGCCAGCATTATAACCTGAGCCCTACGTGTGGCTATGGAACTTTTTTTTTTTTTTAATTAAACAGAATGCACTCAGATGTATTTGACTATGCTTTTTTATTACTGATGTAGAACTAATGTTTTAATAACTGTGGTAAAGAAGACAGTAATGAGACTATTCACACAATCAATTTAGGAGTGGCAAAACATTTTATCCATGTAGATCAGGAGAATGGTAGGTATTTTCTCTCCTGAAAAAAAAAAAAGTTGATATTTTCTGTTTGTTATAGGTGCATGAAGTTTGTGTTCATTGTTAATCTTCTGATGTCTTAGGTGGTTTGTTTTATCGTGAGTCCCCCAGGCTGAAATCCTTTTACAATAAATATGCAGGTTCGCTGACTCCTGTCATGAAAAAAGAACTTTCAGGATATGTGAGGAAAATATGCACAGGAAAGATTTATTAGAGATAAATGTAGGACATATTCAGCAGTGGAGGAAATAAATCAGACTGTATAGTGGAGGCCTGGTGTCCTTTATGTTTTGGAAAGTGGGATTCCATTCAGTTTGATAATGTCGTGGTCTTAGTTCTAGTCTTAGTGAGTGGAAGAGGATAGCCCTAGCCTAGTGAAATAATTATTTGTTCCTATGGAAAGTTCCCAAAGGGTGGACCATTTACGTGTGAAAGAGAACTACTTGTAAGTAAGAGGGAATGGGCAGGTCCACTTGCAGCTGAAAAGGATTTGCCCAAGGT